TTAGTTAATTGTTTATTTTTCCTTTAAAACCATTTATTACATTTTAGTCTCTACAAAAAAAAAAAAAAAAATAGAGTAAATTATACTTTTAAAAATTTACTTTACAGTTCACAGAATCTCAGGCTTACCTATACCGGTATATATAAATACGTTTGATAAGTAGATCTTTGTATCAGTATGTGATTAAATTCCACGATATTAGCTGTTCGGAAATATTTTATTGTAATTAAAATGTTCCATGTTTATCAACATAAATTTTAATATAATATTAAAGAAATCATCAAAATTTCAGACTATTTTTATTGCTTCTATATGTATATCTGAAGATAATAACTGAATAATATAGCATGCAAATATTCGTGAATTATTAAATATAATGATTAAAATATTGCCTAGCGACGAAGGTGTTATAGGGCCAAAAGGGTTAAAAGAAAAAAATGTAAAAAAAACATTGAAAAAATGTCGACTAACTCTGTATAGTGTGTACGACATTTAATGTTATTGAGTCCATAATAACTAATGTTAATTATGTTCAGTTATAGTATACGTTAAACTGAACATATAATTTGTATTTTTATCTGTAACTATTTTTATCGATGTTTAATAGAAACGCTACACATGAATGCGTCACGAAATCCCTTTTCCACATAAATTGCATCCCGACAAAGTTTAATGACTACACGAATCGTGTCCAAACGTATAAACATTATTTTCCTTTCCATTTCGTACCGACTTAGGACTGTTGTTAGCAAATTATCGATACTATCGATAGATTAAAAATATTGATTTTCATTATTGTTATGCAATTATAAATAAGTAAAATGAAAATGTGTAGGTTTAAATTACATGAATGTAATATATTCATTAAAATAAACAATAATAAAAAAAAAAAAAACAATAAATATAAAATTCAAATAACTAGTAAAAACTTAATTATAATCAAGACAGATTAATTGGCCATTTTTATAGTTTGCCATATTTTGTCTTAAATAATCTTATTTTTTTACTTATCATCCGTCTATTTAGTTATATGATTACTTCGTTATTTAATATAAGTTTATTTTGATAAATTTTTTAAAAAACCTATGAATTGGAATATATTCAGGTGTGCTGAGTAAAACATACTATTAAACTTGGATTGGAACGCTTCATAACTATTCGTAGTTGAAATGATAGAACATGAATATATTGCCCACACAAAAAGAGGGTGGTCACAATCGGGCTTTATATATGTATTTAATATATAATCAGAACAATTCTAAACTTTTTCATCTTCGGGTAAAATTGATAAAATATCGTCAGTAAAATAATCCTCTACTTCATTTGGTTTTAAAAACGGGAGGCCAAAAAAATAATTTCATGTAGTCGTTTAAATAAAACCGGACACAATTCATGTAATTATTTAGATTAAGACGGACGCAATTCCTATGTAGCTAATAGAAGGAATAAATATTTTCTGATTGCTTAACTTAAATATAAGTCGTGCCATAATCAGTAAAATATGTTTCGCGTATAAAATTCGATCGAAGTTATGATTCTTAAAAGACCAAAAATTTCAATTTATAAAATGTATATATATATACGAATATAATACCTATGTATCTAAATTGATAAATTAATGTTATTTTAATACATATCAGTTCATAATCTTTTGACCGTATAATTTGAAATTGTATATCAAGGGTTTTTTCTGATTTGCGCAAAAAAGTGTGAATTTTATTTAAATCTAATCTTTATTATCCTTTTAAAATACTAATGTCCTTATATTTCTCACAAACACATCGTTTCATAAACATGACGTAACGAGAAAACATTGAAGCTAAATTTAAATAAAAGTAAAAATTGTAATCGCTGCGGATAAAATACTGTGACTTGACTTTGTTCATTTCTAAAGACACTACTTTAAATTGATTCTATATGATCATACAGTACAAAATAAAAGTAGTAAATAAAAGTATATCGGTAAACATCGACTTAGATAATATTTTTTTAAAGAAGATCGACTTAAAACAATGTTTCGAGAACAGTTGAAAATTATAGTTTGTTAATGATTACGTTAAAACTATAGTGTACTATAAGGTAAACATTTCAACAAAAATATGTTTGCTTGAATTAAAACAAATAATTTATCAGAATAATGCGCGTTTTATAATGGACTATATGTTCAGACAAATCGAGATAAAAATATTGATTTCAAACACTTCAAACAAATACAAACAAATACAAAATGTTTTATTCATGGTGATCGTGATAATTTTTTCTTTTCGAAAATTTAATATAAAATCGTTGTTTTTTTTTTTTTTAATGAATTTGTTTTTATCTTTTGTAAAGATAATTTTAGTTAAGCTTATTTTTATTTCTATCTAAATAGATTTTTTATGTACTACCTTTATCTTTATCTAGATGAAAAAGTATTTATCTGGGTTCAACACAGTTTATAAAAATACAAATTATAAAAGTTGTCAATACGATTACGGTATTATTTTACTGTTGCATTTATTAAGATGACAGAAGATTCTAGAAAATCTCTGAAGAATTAAACTATACGTGATCGACCCAGCTGCGAGTGGTACACAATTTATTTCATTATTTTATAGCAAAACTATTCGGTATTATTTTTTAATTAGAACTTAAACCTCCGAGCAATAATTATGATAGTCAGCCATTGGGGCGATACCTAACACTGACAAAGTTTAAGAAAGAAATTCGAGTCTTAGCGCGTATATAATGGCGACAGAGTAAATATTACACCATTTTGTCTCGTTAAAACGTGACTCAAAATAACACATTTTTACGGAACAATCTTTACTCACCGACGCAGTTACTATAGACTTATGGTGTGACGACTACAATGTCATAATGAACTCACCCCTAAAATATGATTAAATTTAATTCAAGATTACTATGTATCAAAGTAATTATTTATGATCATACTTTACGTCCTAAGGGTATGAATTTTTTTTTTTTGTCGTTATTCTTAAAAACAAGTTTCGACGTTCCTTAATAATTAAAATAATAGTTTTAAAACAATCGATTAATGTTTACGGTTAACTTTTTTCCCAACCCGGCTGAATATTTTTTGCGGTCGGTTATAGCCAATACCTTGACAGCATCACTGTATATTTTTACTACAATCTATATTTTGCTAAAATATAACGAATATCTTAATCATTTTGTATTGAGAATATTGCATTTAATACAAGTTTAGAAATAATACCATTACAAATTTAAGTAATCATTTCAGTAAATACAATTGTATTATTTTCACACCATGCCCGAAGTTTATAATAAAAATAATGATTTGTTCATTTTCCCAAAAATCTCATACAATATAATATAGAACGTAAATCCGAATTGCATCCAGGTACGTTCGTTTTCGCATCGCAGTCGACGCAAATTATTGCGGTGGACATGTTCAAAGTCAATTTGCGTTCGATGTGTCCGATATTTTAATTTATTATTTATTTAAACGTTTAAAATTAAATTAATATTTCCGTTCGTGTTTGTGTCCGATGCGCCGAAAAACCAAATGATTTGTTTTTAAAATCATGCACCGAATGCATCCATTATGCAAATAGCATTCAAATCGTACAAGTCGCATCATGTTTGCAGGATTGTATCTAATTTTAGATGCAACGGACGCAAGATTTACGTTGGACATGTTGTAAGGCTTTCATATATGTGATTCTCGTATAACGTATAGAGTGATTTTCAACCGTCATGAAAGTAGTTTTTCTATTGGATTAAACGTATATGTTAGCACGAAAACCTTTCGATAGTCGAATATTATTACGACTGGAATCAATAAGTCTGGTTTGACAATAATAAATATGACACCCATTCAAATAGAAATACATTGTTAAGACCATAATTTGACGAATGAACACTAAATTTTTATGAAATCATATCTTGAAATGTACTTAAATCATGTGCAGTTGTGGTTTTAAGAAGTAATAAAAACAGCTTTTATTTTTATTGCCTTGGAAAATATGAACTCCTTACTTTGCCTCGAACACAATTGGGATCGGCAATAAAACATTGTATGAAACGCTAATCGTAATTTACTGTTCGCGGCTTCCTTAATAATATTTTTCTGTGTCTACCCGGCACAAGAGTAAGCCCTATAAATGAGACGACGAAAGAAAAAAAATAGTGTTGCAATATTAGGCCACGCGTACATTTCACTTGTTGTTGGACTCAAACTGAGATAATACAAAATTGAAATTTTACCAAAGTATATAATATGTATAGGATGTTTCAATGTACTAGCCGCAGATGACAATACATTTTTACCTTGTTATTAGTGTTTAACATTTGGGAATCTTGTTTTTTTTTTTTTTTATATATTTAAATACTGTATCAAAATTAAATATTTATTGTTGTATACGCGGCTGAAAATATACATTTTTTTAGTATGTTATTTGTTGATTAAGGTAAAACTTAACTAAACAACTTTTTTCCAGATTCAAATTTAAATAATTATTAAAAACAGACAGGTTTTCAAGTTTAACACCTAAGATCTTTTTGAATATATTTTGGAAACTTGTTTTTAATTTTACATTGGGCTTGAACACATCAAAAATAATCATTCAACACGACTACAGAATTTTAAAAATAATCAAGCAAACATGTGATTGACGAACAAACGAACATGGTGAAATAAATGCTGTGAATAATATTTCATTATGTTGTGCACTTCGTATACTTAATGTAATACCGGCAGGAGACGCATAATATATATTATTATAACACAAGTCACTTTCACGTGTTTTAAAAAATATATAAAAATATGTAAAAAAAAAAAAAATACAATACAATACACAAATACAAGTACACATTACCAATTCGTAAATAAAATATCAATTATAAAACGTACGTACCGTGGAAAAAAAAAATAATGTCATACGCGCGAAACATACGCGATAAATATACGGTTAGTTATTATGTTACTTTACATTTTATTGCTACAGTTATTATTATGGTTATAACTACCTATTTACTTTTTTTCTTTGCTGTGTGAAGATCTAGGCCGATAGTTTGCGTATTCCTGGGAAACGGTGTCTGTGCAATCTAAACGTATTTTACGAAGGTTTTCGCAGACCATTTCGCATGAGAAAAGATTTAATGTGCAATTCAGCACCTAGACACTTTTTCAACGTTGCGATACAACGCGTAAGTCACTTCCCCTTGTACAGCTCATGAACTCGTAAATATTGCGCTTTTCCCTAGTTTTTGCGAAACTCTATCTCCCGGAATATTCGCTCGCACCAGTGCAACTAGTAATATCGAGGCCGAAAACAAAAAAAAAAAAAAAACCGAAAAACTGAAAAACTAAACCTCGTACCGAACGAACAACAATTGTATTACATTTTATTGTGCAGGTACGCTTTTCACGTGGAACTCGTCTGCATGATGATATACAGTAGTTCCTATTCGCATCGGGTCGAATACGTTTAAACACTAACACCAACGTTACGATATCATCATACCTCATCACGCATATACGAGCGCGTGCGCAGTTGCTGGCGTGAGCCAGTTAGCTCGAATTGACATAATTAAAAATAAGTTTGCGTGGAAAAAAAGTGTCCGTACTGCTATTTCCCCGTCCAGACGTATCTCTTGTGCCAGCTACCTTCGCACGGTTTTTTTTTTTTTTTTTAAAAGCTTTTAAATATCGCTTCGACGCTTTTGTTCTTCGCTTTGGAAAAGAGGAAAAAAAGCATTATTGTCTTTATTTTTTTCCGCCCTCAAACGCGTCACCCGACTCTTGATCGCATAAATTATAACGAGAAAGTCAAATCAATATCTTATTGCGCCCTAAGAGTGAACGGTTACTTTAAATATTTTTAAATAAAACGTTCCATAAAAATACATTTTCGACGAGAAACAAAAAAAAAAACAAAATCATCAAAGAGAACGACAAATACGTTCCTCCTCGCGTGGTCAGAATCTAAAGCACACAAAATATCGTATCGAATGAGGCGCACTGACTACGACGCAGGGCTCGTACAAAAACAATGATCAAGATGAGCGGTCAAACATTTTGGGAAATGGTTTAGGGTCCGAGACGCGCAGATATAGAACGACTTCCGTCGTGTAAATCAACCAAAGCGACGCCGGCGGAATGCGAAAAGGAACAGTGACCGCGTAAATAATTTATATAATATATTTCGGTTACCACCGGTGTGTCGTTATCGAAAAGGTCAAAACCGATCTCGTGTACCATTCGTACTGTACAGAGGGATTCGTTTAACTCTTTAAATACCGGCGAAACGTATCTAACGAGAATTAACGTCAGTCTCTACTTTACGAACATTGAATACATATTGATAAATGTTTTCGAGCGGATCCGCAACACGCGATTTCAGTCTGAAACCCAAACATTTCACAACGACGACATAACAGTTAAAAACATAATTAATGTTTCAATAATTAATTATTTTTCAGTGCGATCGGGGATGGCCAACGATTTTTTTCCGAAACGCAAACCGAACGAGAAAAGTGTTGTCGGTCGAAATCGCCCGGTATAAACGTCACGTATCATATCATTGGTTATGAACACTGTATAGCAGGGGCGTCATTTGGGAGGGAGCAAACTATGGCAAATGCCCCACTCTAAGAAATATTAAAAAGTCAGCAATTCTTTGTCCGATGATCAAATGCTAAAATCGGTAAATCGTGAATTTATATTTACTATTTTGTATTCAGAAATCAGATAATAATCGTTTTTAAATACACGTTCACGGTTTATTTAAAGTTGAAAATACTGGCTCTTCCCCAGCTTATGACAGTCATTATTACGGGAACCTTATAAACTTTAATTTTGGTATATTATATATTTCTATATATGTGATCTTTATAAAACAATTTTCGTGATATGGATACCATAAAAATTGAGCTCATACAGGCGCGTACTGGCCCATCAGGATACCGGGAAAATCTAGGTAGGCCCTCTCAAAAATTATAAGAGCTGGGCCCCTTACCAAATAGGTACCTGTAGTTTCAGTTAAATTCAGTTATTTTATTATTTTTACAAATTAAAATACAATACTGATGGACAGTCGACTTCTTAATTTAGTACCCAATGGGAAATGAGTAAAACATGCAATTTTTCAAATAATTTATTCGATTTGCTTATAGTAAATATATCTGTTACCATTATATCGACTATTAAAATCATTTTATTATTCCCATCACTAGTTATAACATTACCAACAGAATCGGTAAGTAATGTTGCTGAAATTCGATGGAAAAAATGACCTGTATCAACTTGGGAATACACTAAATTTAAATATATTGCAATTTTTTTTGGCATATTTCCAATTTTGTTTTTTCCAATAACCTGCTTAATGCATTAATCATTTTTATAACTAAAAAAAATCTATCTCACGTTATATTTGTGGGTCATAAAAATATCATATAATTCCCCTTTAATAGTAAATGATTATGAACAATTTGTTTTTGAGTAGATAAGTTTAATGTGTAATATATATTTCACTAATGAATATTAGTATTATATTAATACTATGTAATATAATTATTACATATATCTCAATAAATGAACGGAGAATGAATAGCCAATACATACAAAACAATTTATCTCACCTACCTTTTCACTAAATATTGAATATCAGGAGCTTCGTCAATGAATTTTTTAAATCGGTTGAAGTCAAAAACTTTTGAATTTTTACTTTTAATCCACTCGATTTTCTCTATAAAAAAACTTGTAATTTTAAATAAGTAGCAACGTTAATATTATGTTTCATATTTTTCATGCTTTTAGCATTGAATAAATAGATCATAGACTTGACGATTTAATTTCTGTGGATAATTTGTTAAAATTTGTAAGAAACACATTTTCCGACAACGATTTGGTTTTATTTATTTTTCTCGATTTAATAGTTTTTCATAAGCCATTACATATCTTTCTTTTGATTTTTCAGGCAATAGATTTAGTGAAATAGCATTTGCTGTTTTAACCATGTATGGTGAAGTTAATGGTTCACTACAATTATTGTACTGATTGTCATCTTTCGTATTTATGCTTGTTTGCGCGCTTCGCAGTCAAACCATCATTAGTTCAATTGTGTGGCGTACTCACGTCGTTTGCAATAAAAAAGAACACTTAACAAGGATAATCAATGAAATTATAATAAATGCCGGAATAAACGGGCCAAAGGCGCCACAGTTATATTACCAAAAAAATTAATAATAAATATGATAAATATAATTTGTTGTAATAATATAGCAAGACAAATCGTATACTAATAAGTATAATATTTTTAACAAATATAACGGAACATACCTTGGACGGTCTGGCGTTCGAGTAGTTATGCTCACGCTACCGTGTTCACACGTGCGACGAACGCCACGACTGGCATAAGAATCGGTTGATCAGCGGCGTTGGTCTCGATTTACATTAACTGGCTTCTCCGCGTACGACGATAACCGAATGAAAATTTTGCGGACACGGGTCAGCTACGGTTCGAACAGTCATTATACACACAAAGTTGTCCCCGGAGATAGCGACTGTACAGTGCTATGCAACAGTAACAAAAACATATGGCCGGTAGCACGGGAAAAATTACGATTCGGACGTTCGCAGAGAATGTCGACGGGAAAAAAAAATTAAAAAGTCCCGGCAGTAATGGCGTCCACGGACCAGTGATAATCGTACCACGATAACGCACAAATCGAAATTTCTCGAACATCACACGCTGTCACCGTTATCGGGTGCTCCTGTTAACACGAAACGAGATAATTTGAACGGCGCGTTACACTTGCGCGAACGATCTCATTTTTTTAATTCGAATTATTATATAAATCACGCAAAACAAATGTATCCGTAACGTCCAACGCACCTGTGTGGGAACAACGAAATATGTTTAAACGTATATGCGTCGTGCAAGGAGGTTGTGTTATGTGTATAAGATTTAACCGAAAGTTTATGTTTTGTACGGACCATGGTATACATTTAAGTTTCTGGTTGTGCTGGGAGCGCTCTTGGAAATTTCCACTTTACTACACCGTGTTATAGGGATTTCCACTTTACCTCCCCCCCTGGCACTTTTTGGGATTTCCACTTTACTGCTCGCCACTATGGGATTCCCATCTTATTGGCCGAATAAATGTGACATCCAATGCTTCGATCATAGTCGAAAATCAAACTTTCGGTACAGTTGAGACAAAAATGTTATACCTAGAGAGTAATTTTTTAATTTCAATTACCGTTTACCTTTGTGTTTATCATTTCGATTTCTTTATTGTATAACACTTATGAGTGAAAGAGAAATTATCTTTTGGAATGAAAGTAATTCAACAGTGGACGATCCTATAAGTAAGGGAGCAGGTTTTGGATTTTTTTTAAGAATTTCATGGATGATTGAATGCCTTGCAAATATTTTCAACGCCTATAATAATACACAAAAACAGTAAGAGAGTTGTTTATATTGAAATAATAGTCTTAAAAGATTCTTCCGATCTCGACAAATATTTCCGTTATCTCTTAAAATAACAATTATGTCCCGTCACCACAACAACACACCTTCACGAAAACAAATAAATTGATCTTTTATCATCGTTATTTATTTTATTATATATCTAAGTTATTTTGAGTATTTTAATTTTTATTAAAAGTAAGACTTTTAAGTTTATTATTAGTGCTTTTTTATATGTAAAAATTTGCATTCCAATGGTCGTCAATTTTTATCACAAAGGATTTTAATTATTTGAATTAAATTTGAATTAAATTTTGTTTGTCAATAAAATTTAAATACAGTAAGATTGAACACTATGAAATTTCAGTATGTTAAGTTTCAAAAACAATAAGGGTTGATAAATAATTAATGTAAATAATAGGTACTTACTATATGTATATACTTTTCGTATAGGTAGTTGGTACCTACTCTATATTTCCATAAATAATTATTACATAAAATATCTGGATATCTAGTCACCATATATGACCATGATTACTATATGTTAAAACGTTAAAAATGTTTTAAATTCACGGATAAATGATAATTTTATACCTATATTTTACTACCTAGTAGATAATTAAAAAACTACAACTAGCAATAAGAAAGTGAGTAGCTATGGATTTAAAACCGTTTTTATATTACCTTGTGATAAATTCATAAAATAAAACTAAAATTTATACCACATACTTGTATCAGTTGAATGAGTTGCATCAGATTTAAAGACATTTTTAATGTTTATAGTGTATTTACAAAAATCTAAAATGTGATTCAATTGACGAGTTGCAATTTTTTAAGGTTGTCCAATTGCAGTAATTACATGACTTTTTAATTATGGTTTCATTACGTTTTTTTTCGCTTTACTCTCTAAACACTTATGTATTTATATATTTATGTATTTTTGCTCTATGTTTACCCATGTTCAATGTCATCTAAACGTATTCGATACACGCAT